CCCCCCCCAAGGAGTGGTGTGGGAAGTGGGATGTGTAGGGTTCCTTACTTCTTTGGGGAGGGGGCAGGTGGGGGGACCAAACACCGATCTAAACCTCTGAAGTCAAAACATTCTAACAAGCCATAAGCTCTGCTGTTTTTAGAGAACAGGAAGTGAGATGTGCTTTCCTGTTTGCTTGTTTGTTTGTTTTAGTTTTTTTTAAAATATGCTACTTTTTGTACACATACACACCCCTCTGATCTCTATACCACATATATATATATGGACTCACCCACACACACATATATACAGACAATGGTTGCAACTTGATTTGCCTTTTTTTAGCAGACTAGGATCACTGCATAAGATTTTTATGCATATTCTTGTAAATACAGTTTGTTGTCAAGGGACAAAAATATAATGTCAGAGGTAAATGCCAGCTCTCTCACCGTCATTTTCTCTTCTTAAAAGAAGCACCAGGGCCATGAACTCCATCAAGATCATCACGCTGAAGGAAAGGGATTAACTCATTTATTCCAAGAAGTCCTTCAGTATAAATCTTTTCCCCAGAAGTGTGTAATTAATCACAAAAAGGAGGAAAATGCTGTAGTTACCTGAAGGGAAGATAAAGAATTTTTCCTAATTAATTACCTGTGATTTGGGAGGAAATCAGCTTATACTCACCAAGAATATGGTGGTGGAGGAAGATGTTGTTGTGAAAGCCAGTGACTGTGCATGAGGTGCAAATAATGAAAGCAAATGGCTGGAGTAGAGCAGAAGCCACGGCTTTCACTTCAAGGAGGAAGGGGAGACGGTCTTCCTGCCTTCTTCTCACCACCCACAAAGTTTGCAGAGGACAGTTTCTATTATCCATGAAGGCTTTGTATATGGATGAAGATTCAGGAAAATGAGAGTCCTCAGTTGGTAGAGAGGTTCCTTAGAGAGGGTTCCCATTGCAGCCAGTTACAACTGAAGGAGAAAGATACTCCTTCACAATCTGCAGGTAGAAGGAGAATTGGACTACCAGTCTAACTGAGCTGGATGAGAAGACTCACATTGAATTCACTGAAACTTGCTACAGAGTGAACGTGTGTAGGCTTCCTTATGGTTGCAGCCCAGCTCAAAGGCCTTCATTCACAATTTCCTTGTTGAAAACTAAAGGAAAAACTCAGCTCAATCCTTCAAGGATCTGTTTCCTAGCTTCCATACTCATTTACATGGAATAACTTGGACTAAATAGATCTGTGCCCAGCTTACTGGTAGTCTGCACATTTAATTGGAAAAAGGGCCATTGAACTCAATAGGACTTACTACAGAGGAAGCATTGGTTCATGTTTGTTGTGCTCAGATTTCTACAGTTTCTTTCTCTGGTTGAACGGGTAGTATGTGCAAGAAAGTAATTTGCAGGAAAGAGAATAGTCTTTGTGTATATCCAGATAGGACATCAATTAATTTTATAAATAAGAGAGTCTTATTCTACCAGCAGTTAATTTTAATCAATAGAATTAATTCTCTCCCCCCCTCCACCAGAGTGTGGCTTTTAATATATGTGTATGCTGATTCATATACATTTATAAGTATACACATTGGCTGGGAAAAAATAATCTCCAGGATTGATTTCAGTGGGAGGTGACAACTCTATTAACAAGATGGGGAAGATTGTTACATGTGTTCAATTTTTTTTATGTCTAATCTTTCTTGGATGACAGATATTACCACCCCACCCCAAAGAGCAATTAACAGTACCAAGAGGAGCCATTTAAACCAGGGAAATGGCTTTATTACTGTCAACCCTCCACCACTGATCCAACTCAGGAAAATATATCAGGAAATCTAATCAGAGATATCCAGCATTGTATGAGATAGAGTGATTTGCAACAATAATATCTTAGATCAGTCTCTTTTAGGAAGAAATTATGAATACTGGAAATGAGGGATGATAGTCTCAGATTGAAGAAGTTCTTGAAGCATCCACTTTGTTATTCAAGTATATCTGCCAGCAATCTGCAACATGAACACGGACTGGAATCGTTAGATGCTGGAAGACCAGTACACATTTCAATCCAGTTTCATTTCAGTCTTTATCAAGCAGCTATCCTTTCTCCTGGTGGGTGGATGGGTGGGTGAATCAAGTGATCACCACAATTTACAAGTGATTTGCTGCTGAGATGGAAAGATCTCACCTTCTTTCTCATCCTCACCTGCACTAGATACCATTCCCTGCCTGCTTTCTCCTTGGTCCGAATGGAGTGACTGCAGTGTCACTTGTGGAAAGGGGATGAGGACCAGGCAACGGATGCTAAAATCTGCTGCTGAGCTTGGAGATTGCAATGAAGAGCTGGAACAAGTAGAGAAATGCATGCTGCCAGAGTGTCGTAAGTATAGATATCTAGAGTCAGAAGGCTAATTTAGCTGTTTGTCGCATTCATTTATTCTATTCCACCCAACAGATGAGCAGAAAGGTGTTACTTATGCTGCTATTCCTATATGATAGCCATGTTTCAGTAGGCGTGATGCATAGCTTTGTTACTGTAAAGTACCATTTGCACACCAGAAACAAACTCCTGACATTTTCCCAGATAGTACATATGGAGAAGAAATGGTGTCTGTTTTAAGAAAGTGTTCAAAAGGACCTCACCGCTGCTAAAATGAGTTATGCCATTTTAATATAACTGTATTGCATATTATAGACACTTTTTCCTTACCTTCAACAAAGTTTCTAGGGAAAATGATAAAAACATCCATTTTAAATTAGCAACATAAAATAACTGAATTTGTGCCATTCCAGATTGTAAAAGTCTGATGAATAATTGAATGAATTTCACACACATTTTCACAGTAATTTTTATAAAAAGTACCATCCATCTATCAGTGGAATCAAAATTGCCTCCATGCAACTCTACTCGTTTTCCTCTCCAATCTCCTGCATTTCTCCCTCCATGTCCTTCCTATAAATCAGCTTCAGGGTTTATTTTATTTATTTATTTATCATATTTATATAGCCGCTCCTCTCACACAAGGTGACTCTGGGCAGATGTGAATGTACTGCTCTCAGATCATAATGAAAAGGTGGTCTAGCTAACACATTTTCCGTGTAAAATTAATTATAATCATCATCAACGTAAATGTTCATTTTTCATGTTGGGATTAAAAAGAAATAGAATCTTGTTCTGCTAAACCAGATTGTTCTGACTAAGTAATTTAAGACTAAGCATCCCACTTTCCATCCCATCTTCCGCAGCCATTGACTGTGATCTGACAGAATGGGCCCAGTGGTCAGAATGCAATAAGTCTTGTGGGAAAGGTCATATGATCAGGACAAGAATGATCAAAATGGAACCCCAGTTTGGAGGAGCTCCATGCCCAGAAACTGTGCAGCGTAAAAAATGCCGAATAAGAAAATGCTTGAGAAACCCCAACATTGAGAAAAGGCGCTGGAAAGAATCTCGGGAGAAAAGGAGGAGTGAACAAGCAAAAGAAGACGTAGATGGTGGGCAATTCCCAGGTAAGTATAGTAAACCTCACCTAGAGCAGTCCTTAAATTAAGAAAGTAAGCTGTGCAACATAGAAGTGCGTTACTAGTTTATATTCTTGTTAATACTGCTTCTTTCATTGATCCTGAACTAGTTCCCACAATATGAATGTTTTCCGTAAATGTTTGGGTTCAGATCACTGAGCAACTATAGATATCCAGATCAAGGGAACATTCCCCTTCCCCTTCCCCTTCCC